TTTGTTTGCTTGTTCATATGTTTTCCTCACTATAATATTTCCTCACTAGATATTTCATTATCTAAAAAATGAAATGTAACGACAACCATGTTGTTATTTTTATCCACCAGATTTGGATCATGCATTGAAATGCCTTCAACGTGAAGATCCCAGTTTAAAAGTGAGGCTTGATCCTGACTCTGGACAGGTAGGCATATTGTTACTTAATCCGATATCTGTCAGTAACGTAGCATGTGTGTTGAAGTAAGTATATCTGAAACATTGATAGATCTATGCCCCTGAAAAAGAAACTTTCTTTTTTGGTTCTCATAATAATAAACTTGTAATTATTATGTTGACTATCAATCTAAATAGACAAGTTCTCCTTAATTCCTTAAAATAATTATACATCACTTATATAAACTACTTTGCAACATTAGGCCATCCAGAAGAGAGCCTTTTGTGAAATTTTCAAATGAGGTTCAACCCCAAGACAAAGCCTTGTATCTCTTACACTAAGGCTTATAGAAGCAGCAAACTAACGGGAGGGTACAAAGGGTCTCTTAATGCTAATGACACAGATGTGTGAAAAGTGATATATTTCAACCTATATATTTTCTAAATATGTATGTACATATATATAACAAGTCATTCTATTTGTATTATTCTACAACTTGCTTTTTTCCAAATAATTTACCTCTTTAACTTTACATTAAAGTATAACAGTCACACACTGTCGTTTTTGTTGTTGTTCCTTACCATTGTAGTTTTATTACAGCAAAAGGATACAAATTAGAATCAACTAAAGGAAGAGATGCAAAGTCTGGGAAAGTTCTTTTTTCTCTCTCTCTCTTACATTAGCTATTAGCTTTTATTATTTATTTATGTATTCATTTATTTATTTAAAGTCTTTATTGTTGAAAGTCCCCTTTTTCCCCCATTGACCGTCCCAGCCTGCCTCCACCCCCTACCCTAGGCCTTCACCACTCTATTTGTTGTCTGTGTCCATGGGTTATGTATATATGCATACAAGTTCATTGGTTGATCTCTTCCCATTCGCCCACCCTCCCCTGCCTTCCCTCTGAAGTTTGATAGTCTGTTCAATGATTCTGTGTCTCTCTATTTTTTTCATCAGTTTATGTTGTTCATTAGATTCCACAGTTGAGTGAGGTCATGTGATACTTACCTTTCTCTGACTGGTTTATTTCACTTAGCATAATGTTCTTCAGGTCCATCCATAATGTTGCAAATAATAAGAGTTCTTTCTTTTTTAATATTCTGTTGTGTGGATGTACCACAGTTTTTTAATCCACTCATCTGCTGATGGGCTGTTTCCAAATCTTAGCTATTGTAAATTGTGTTGCTGTGAACATAGGGATGCATGTATTCTTTCTGATTGGCTCAATCACATACTACCTGTGTGTTGACCTTTAGCCTACAGCACCTCCTGTAGGTTTGGGTTGGTACCTTTACTCTCCAGGTTGAAACTGATATGGCTGTTACAAAACCTGCATTATACAGTAGGTTCTCAGGTTACTTCGGAGATCCGTTCCTACGGCTCGACGTAATGCGATTTTCACCATAAGTCAGAACCCACCTACATAAGCACCTACGTCACTTACATGGAGCACATACACAGCAGTAATGAAGTGAAACAGTAAAAAAAAATTAAAAGAAAGACAATTCCTGACCTTTACTTGTGGTAAAGAAATAATAAAAAACATAAAGCACATATGTACATATGTCAAGATGACGGAACTTTTTTTTTTTATAAAGAAGTGGGAGATGGCGACGTAACCACAAAATGATGTACGTTGAGTCCGACGTAACCCGAGGACTGTCTGTAAACCACATTGTTTGACTAGCTGGTGGACAGAGCCCTCTAACAGGAAAAGATATTTCTATCAGGTAGTATCTTGACCTAGAAATAATCTCTCAGTCACTGAGGGCAACGGCCAGATCTCTCTTTGGGTAAATTCTTCACTACAGAGATGGCAAATAAATAACATGGAGCAAGTGTGGACTTCTTGCCCTATACTCTTTCTCATACACAAGAACCTTCTTTAGGAATAGCCATTGTTGCTAAAAAAAAAAAAAATGCATGTCTTGATTGCTTTTGATACAAATTTGGCTGTTCTAGCAAGGGCTCAAAATAACATTGGTTCATAGAAAATAAAAGTCAATTTCTGTCACATAAAGGCCTAAACTATTCTGGAAGTTTGGACTGCCCAATAAGCTGTAAGGTGCCAGATGGTTGGGGATGTTTGGGAGAAAGGTTATTTCCCCATTTTATAAGATGTTGCCCTCATCCACATTCAAGACAGTTTCCTACCTTTTCCTTAAGAGAATTTTTTCTTTCCTTAAAAGCAAGCCCAGAAGTTGCCAACATCAGTTACACTCAGATCCCATTGGCCAGAGCTTAGCTCTATAGTTGAGAAATGTCGGCCTCACTAGATGCCACTTGCTCAGCTGATAAGTATCATGGAATGGTAATATAATGGAAGAGAATGGCCTAGTAATTCACTTTTAATTAATAGCTCCAATCAGAAAAGTTAAAAACAGTGTTTTGATGTAGGAGCAAAAAAAAAAAAATTGCCAAAAAAACTCATTTTGTAATAAATAAAAAAAAACATAGACTGATAAACCTTTATATA